AGAAGAAACAAATAGGAGGCTTCCCACTTCCCAACCTAAAACCTACGACACACAGAAGCCCAAACAGCCTGGTACTGGAAGAACGAGATGTTTACACCAATAGATCAGAACAGAAAACCTAGACACACATGCATCAGGCTTCAGGCAATGGATCGATCCGTCCCACAAAAGACCTTTCTAAGATCCTTTGGGACAAGGACCCTGTTGTCCAATGGGCCAAAGACAGCCTCTTCAACAAATGGTGTTGGACAAACTGAATTTCCATGTGCAGAAAAATGAAACAAACCCTTCTCTCTCCCCATGCACAAAAACAAGCTCAAGATGGATTAAAGACCTAAAGGTAAACCCCAAGGCTATCAGGATCATCCCTGAGAAAGCTGGAACCAACTGAAGGGCCCTATTGCAGGGCACACGTAGACTACCAAGTATAATGGAGGAGGCACACACAGAAGAAGACCAGATAGATGACTGGCACATGCTGAAATTACATCACTTATGCACATCAAGAGACTTCATCAGGAGAGTACAATACGAGCCCACAGACTGGGAAACTTTTTTTTTTTAACAATGACACATCGAACAAGGGTCTAATTAACAAAATATACAGAACTCTACAACAGCTCAATAAGAAAATAACAAATGACCTAATTAAGAACTGGGAAAAAGGACATGAGCAAGCATTTCAGCAAAAATGAAGTACAAATGGCTAACAAACACATGAAAAATGCTCACAATCACTAGCTATCAGGGAGATACAAATTAAAACGACAGTGGGATACCACTTTACACCCACAATCCTAGCCCAGTGTAAAAAAGAAGAAGGAGATAACAAATGCTGGAGAGAACACGAGAGATTCGTACTTGCATACACTGTTGGTGGACTTGTTAATACATACAACCACTATGGAAAACAATATGGTAAGACATACGGTAAAAAGCAATTGGGAATTGAAATGCCTACAATCCAGCAACACCACTATGAGGCATATACCCCAAAGAACTAAGAGACACCAGGAGCAGATGCATGCTCTCCCATATTGATAGCAGCACAATTCACAATAGCAAGACACTGGAAGCAGCCCAAATGCCCAACAGCAGAACAATGGAATACTATGCATCTCTTAAAAACCACAGTGATGAAAACATAAACACTGCATGGAAGGACCTGGAAACCATTATTCTGAGTGGCGTTAGTCAATCACAGAAGGACAAACATTGTATGAGCCCACTCCTATAAGGAGAAACGCCAATTAAGCAAATCTTAAAGATCAATTCCCAAACAAAGGAGTAGAATGTCTGCCTACCAGCCATGAACCATACATCACCCACTCCACCCCACCCTTATGTGCACTTCATAAGAACCACCGTGTAAGGGGAGACCTCGCCTTAGCTGGGCTCAGGAAATAGGGAAAGGGAGAGGACCATCCACTTGATGCTATACTACATTGAGACAAGATTGTGACAAATCAACAGGCCCTCCATAGGAATGAGAAGAGAACCTGACTAGACAATCAAGCTAAGACCAGGGGAGGGGAGCATCTACATTTCAGAGGAAGCACTGATACTTGTATTGGTGGGTTGTATTCAAACAAGCAGCCATCTAAGTGAGGCGTCAACTAAGTCCACACGAAAGAGCACATCGTCCTGTGTGATCCAAAGATGACGATCACACAATCCCAACAGGATGAAGGGGAAATGATCAGAGCTTAAATCGTGAACACCCACTTTGTAGGTTATGGAAGACAGTGGGAGCCCAAAATCCATCTGCAGAGTATCCAGTCAGAATAAGCCTCCTGCAGATCCCCTCTAGCCACCAGCATGGGACTTGAAAAGCTTCACTATCAGAGATTATTCTAAACTGGATCACGGTGGATGAACCATGGTATAATATGCTACTTGGTTAGTTGACCTCCCTCTTGACCCAACCTGAATTTGCTCTAAACACAAATATTTATTGCTTGTTCCACGACAGAAATTTCTTCTCTGGTTTTTAAAATATTGTTGGTGGTCTTTTCTTTCTTACTCCTTATATTTGTCTTTATATGGTTATTGTTGTTTTCCTCTTTGTTTCGTTTATTGTTTCTGTTAGGTTCCCCAGTTTATGAAGCACAGGAGTGATGCAACGAGACAATAACTGATGCAATGGTTTATATGGAAGCAGGAGCTAACGGTGGATGAGGGGAATCGGGGAGCAACTGATGAATGCAGGAGTGGGGAGGAAACATTAGAACTGATTGTAATGATGTATATACAACCTTTTGAAAAGCTATTTAACTATGGATGTGCATGAGATATGAATATTATACCAAGGAAACTATTGGGGGGAAAAAAAGAAAGAAACCAAACTTGACCTTTAATTACCATGGGTGAAAGAGGAAGGGTTATTGCTGAGGAGCCATTGAATTTATTTTAATGGTGGTTGTGCAATTTGGAGAGGGATATCAATAATGGTTGTATAATATGAAAGGTTAATTAATGGCACTGAATTTTACATGTAGGAGTTATTGAATTGGAGAACTTTTGTTGTGTATATTTTTGCCACAATTAAAAAATAATTACACTAATAACAATGAGTACAAGGAAGAAGAAAATGTTCTAAAATTGATTGTAGTAATGATTGTACAACTCTTTTTTATATGATTAAACTACTGAATTGTGTATTATATGGATAAATGTGGACAAAACTGTTAAAGTAAAAATGTTCACAACTGGACAAATAAGCAATATCATGATAAATGGAAAAATACTAAGGTTATAAAGGGTTTCATTTTATTTACTCATATATCATGGACTGACAGCAGAAGGAACAAATCTGTCTTTGAAGAAGTACAGCCAGGATGCTCCTTAGAGACAAGGTAGTGAGACTTCATGTCATGGACCCTGGACATGTTTTCAGGAGGGATATGTCCCTGGAGAACGCCATAATGCTTGGTAAAAACCAGTAAACCAAACTCATTGCCATCAAATCCATTCTGACTTGTAGCATCCTTATACGACAGGGTAGAACTGCCCCGGTGGGTTTCTGAGACTTAAGACACCTTGCATTCACAGGAGTAGAAAGCCTCTTCTTTCTCCTGTTGAGTGGCTGGTGGTTTCAAATTGCTGACCTTGTAGTTAGCAGCAGCCCAGGGTGCAACCCACTACACCACCAGGTTCAGCAAAAATGAGGAAGACACTCAGCAAGATTGATACAGTGGTTGCAACAATGGGCTCGAACATAACAATCATTGTGCAGACGGCGCAGGACTAGTCCCTGTTTCGTTCTGTTGAACACAGCGTCACTATGAGTCTGAACTGCCTGCACTACACCACAACCACCTAACACGGCTTCAGTAGAGTTTCCTATGGCAAATTTTACCTCTAAATTCTGAAGATAATTTTGCCTAGTTTTTGCCTTTTTATCATTTCAAGTAGATGAAATTACTCAGTATAGGATTCCGTATTTGACTCTTTTGACATGTTGTCAGGTGCCATCGAGTTGGTTCTGATAGCCTCAGAAAAAACAAAATGAAAGGCCGCAGGGTCTTGCATCATGCTCACAGTGATTGTTAGGCTTGAATCCCTGCTTGCAGCTGCTCAGTCAAGTCATCCTGGGGATCTTCCCCTTTTCCACTGACTGTCTACCAAGCACAGTGTCCTTCACCAGGGACTGGTCTCTACTGTGTCCAAAGTATGTGAGATGAAGTCTCCCCACTCTCACTTCTAAGGAGTATTCTGGCCATACTTCCTTTAATATGGATTTGTTTGTTCTTCAATGGCACCTGTTTCTTCTTCGTCTAATGCATTCGCCCGTGCTGTTGGCTGTAACCCAAAGATCCCACTATTATCTAATTGATTCAGAATCATAATGACCCCATAGGGCACAGCAGAACTGCCCCAATGGATTTCAAAGGCTATACATTTTTATAGAGGCCGACTATCATATCTTACTCCTAACAACATTTTTTCCCCTTCCATATTGAGTAGTATTCCATTGTAAGGGTTTGCCCGAAATTCATGATCTATTCACCAGAGCTTTTCTTGAATTTATTTATATGATCATAATATTTTTCTCTTTTATTCTATTAATAGGGTGAACTACATTGACTTTCAGGTTTTAAGTCACCATGCAGTTTAGTTTGATTTATACCCACCCCACCCCCACCTAGGAATTTTATCTATATTTATGAGGGTAGCTGTGGGTGCTGTTCTTTTGTTTTGTTTTGTTTTAGGCCTTTCATTGGTTTTGGTTTCGGAGTAAAATTGGCCATTAAAATGGTTTCTGCCTTGACAGCTAAAATGCTTTCGCAGGAGTCTGAGTCACATATGAGGCATAAAATCAGTCATGATGGGTGTCAACTAAATGTCTTTGAAACAGAATAATCTGTCACTCCCTGATTTCCATAACAAACATATCCTACTCATCCTCTCGTCTAGCTTGAAATTGTCTTTATTACCGAGTGCATTGTAAGCATAGATTTTAGGACATTAAAGCTAAGCAATCCTAGAGATTACACTCACTAGACGGTGAAAGAAATGGCAACCTTTAGAAATATCCAGCCTTCCAGAACTGAGTACCTTGCTGCCTCCATTGAGTAACATTTATTGCAACCCTTTATGGATAGCACACGTATAAAGTGCATCCGCGTCCGTGTACATATTTACATGACAAAGTTGATGTGTCCATCCTTAGTCTTTCTCCTCCCTATGAAGGCCCACGCAGTTCTTACCGACACAATCCAGTTGCAGCAGCAGCAAAACAATGAAACTCTAGGTTTGTGTGGCCTTGGGGTTACCAGCTGAACCGGGCATGCTCAGTCGCCGGGCAGATTTTTTTCGGCGAAGTGGAAACTACAACAGCGCGTACAGCGCGCGCGGTGGTGGGTGTGTCCTCGTGGAATTTAGAACGTTCCTGCAGCCAATGAGGCCTCGCTGTCGGGTGGCGAGGCTCCTGATTGGAGGAGCGGGGAGGCGAGCGAGTAGAGGGGCCTGGAGGGAGCCGGGAGCCGAGTGGGGCGGTGGGGCGGCTGGGCTACGCGGTTCCCTGCGCGCGAGCAGCTGCAGCGGCGGTAGCATCCAGCGGCAGCAGCAGCAGCAGCTCTAGCCCGTGGCTTTACTTTTTGCTTCACGAACGCAGTCATGCCGAAGAGAAAGGTAAGACTTGCCAAACATTTTTTTTCAAAGGCCTTTAAATTGTGTTTACAGTCAACCATGTCAGGCAATGGAAGGTCGCGGTCCTCTTTGCTTCCGCACGCTGGTTTTCAGACGCCTGTTGCAGGCTTGTCTTCCCTCGTCTTCTCCGGTCTCTAAAGGTTACTTTCTCTCCCGCGACGCCGGTCCCGCTCTTGAACTCATTCCCGCTGGCCTGGTTTCCCCCGCCCGCAGCGAGAGCAAACTGCCACGCGGAGAAGTAGAGGGAACACACGAAGGGGCGACGACAAGTCGACGCAGAGGGAGGTCGAGGGGAGAGCGAAGTCGGGCAGATGCTGCGCGGACGCCCCCGTGGGCCGGGTCCACGGCCGGTGCGCCGCGATGGCTCCGAGGCTGAGGGAGGAGGCAGGGAAAGCCATGTTTAAACGGCGCTCGCCCTCCGGCTCGCCTCCGCGCAGACCCGTATGTACCAACTCCGGTGTCCGTCAGGGCTGGGGACGGCGCGGGCGGGGCCCGGGGCCCGGGGCCGGACCCGCCGCGATCGCTGCAGGCGCCGCGGAGCGGGCAGCGTGGGAGACGGCGGGCGCCCGCGGCTCCCCCTGCGCCGAGTCCACGCGTGGGAAAGGCGGGATCCGCGCCTTTGAGTGACATCTCACGCCCCTTGTTAAGCTGTGTCCCCTTCCGCGCTGGCCCTTCACAGCAAGTACCACGCCTGGGTCCTTCTTCCCCCTTGGTGTCCACTAGGGACTAGTTACTGCCCCAAGGCAGGAGGTCCTTCTCCCATAGAAAACCAGTGTGTGGCGGCTGGCTCCTAAGGTAATGTTTTGTATCCTCCCACCTCTGGCCCCAGCGCTTCCTGTCAACCGGTGAACCAGTGTTAGATTTGAAGCACACTTACAAATAATATCCCGCTTTATCAGCTAAAGTCTGGACTGATTTATGTGTGAGCGAATGCAATACATGAGAAAACATTTAAGTGTTTTAAATCCAGATTTGCCCACTCATCTGCCATTTTTAAGAATTTGGTGTCTTCTCCACTTTCTAAAAGGCGTAATCTTTTTTTTTTTTCTTAATGTTTATGGGTCCCTGGGTGGCACAAACAATTCAAGGGACCCACTACTAACCTAAAAGCACCTTGGAGGCTTGTGGGTGCTGAGATGATTTGACAGCCTACTTCTAAAAAAATCCACTATTGAAACCCCGATGGGATAAACTTCTCCCCTTGTAGAACTTTGACATGAGATCACTGTGAGTCAGAATTGACTCAGGGCAACTGTTATCTACTTGTTTGTTTTAATGTAGGATAATGTGCACATGCCAGCAAGTGCCATGCATTGTGTAAAAGGTTTGATTCGCAGTAACTCATTCAATCCACAGACGACCTGGAGAAATTATCACCATTGAATTGGGACTTGGCATGAATTGCCCAATATCTCACCAGTCAAATGCTAACAGCAAACATTTCATGAGAGGTGGTATATCCCAAGTCCTTACTCTCAGCCATTATTTATTCCTTCTCTGCATGTAGTGGTGGGTGGGGTCAAAAGGAATTTAGAAAACGCCCAGACCTCTGCCTAAGAAAATGATTGGCATATTAAGGGTACTAATAGTTTAAATGTGTTATTTCAACTTAATTTTCATGAAAGAACAACACTAGAATGAGGATATGAAAATATGCAGTCATTGTCAGTATTTTATTTATTTATCTGATGGTTAAGAACTAGTAGAGTTTTAAAAGGACTAATTGTCAAGAAGGATTAGAGAGCACGTTGGTGTTATCACCTTGCCTGGGAATTATTAACAAAAGTTTGGATATCCATAGTAGGCTAAATGTGCACTCTAGATATAATGGTCCATGGCCCGGTGACTCTGTGGGCTAATGTTCAAAAAGCTGGAAGTTCAAATCCAGTAGACCATCTCCGTGGAAAGATGAGACTCTGCTCTCATCATGAGATTTACAGTCTCAAGAACCCTGAGCAGCAGTTCCACCCTGTTCTATATAAGGTCGCTATGTGTTGCAATCAACTCAATGGCTGGTGTTTTGGTTTGGGTTGGAGGTGTTGGAAGGAATTGTTCCTTATTGTCCTTCATGGACCAGAGTTGATGAAGTGATTACTCTTAGTTTTCATGTGTGTCCATGGCTGGATAGCGGACACACTAAAGATGGTGAAAGAGAAGAACTGTTTGTTTTTCTTTTGCAAACATTGTTTATCATGGTTTCATTTTCCCAGAAGGCAAAGCATCCTTTGAATAAATTGTCCAGGCATACTGAGCATTGAAGCATTTCTTTGTGCTACCACTTGCTTCATCTCTTAGGACCTCAGACATGAAACATCTCCATAATTGATAGAAAAATTGTCATATATATCTGGAGCCCAAAATTTTGGTTTGATACCAAATAGGAACAGCCACAAATGATGGTGTAGTCGCTTGGCATGGCAGTTACGTAACCTCCTGTCAAATTGAGCAAAGGGGTGGAGTCTAGCCTGTCAATCAGGTTGCAGCTTGATGACCTCATTTGGAGGCAGGAAGGAGATAAATAACTCCCTGGAGGTCAGACCCACTTTCTCTGCCTTTCCTCTCCTGCTGTTGAGACTCTCAGAGAGCTGGAGGAGGCACATGGAGACTGTGCCAACATTGAGATGCTTACCCTGCCACTGGATCCACAAGACCTTCTCACTGGCCTGTGATCTTCCTGCATTCGGCATCCATTGCATGTGCTCATTGAGCCTAAAGAGGAATTTATGGACTAGTATAAGACATATGGACTAATATCAAACTTATGGACTTGATCTGGACTGGGCTGGGATGTTTTCTAAATATACATCTGCTCTTTATAAAAAGCTCTTTCTTATACACATATGAGTGTCTGTGAATTTGTCTCTGTAGTCAACCCAGACTAACACACTTGGTTATCTCTTAAGCTGCTAGCAAGGTCTGGTTCAAATCTACTTGCAGCTCCAAGGGAGAAGGATGAGACTGTCTACTTCCATAAAGATTTACAGTCTTGGAAACTCCAAGGATTAGTTCTACTCTGTCCTATTGGGTCACTATGAGCTGATACTGATGCAGTAGTAGTGAGTTTGTTGGTTGTGTGTGTGTGTGTGTTTTAAATCATGGCAATCCCATTTTACAGTCACACCTCGAAGTACATAATGAAAGCATGAAGTTCCTTGGAATTACCTTGGGAAGTTGTTATTAGTAAAACATATCTCTATTATAAAGAACAATGCCTGAGATAATCTGCCACCCATAGCTCTTCACGATCAGTAATGCTCAAGTAACTACCAAAGCATTTCCATTCTACTTCAGGGTTATTTCATGACTGAAGAACTGCTCAGTCTATAGTTGAATAAGTCAAAGCACCCTACAATATTTTGAGCCATCTTGGCCCCTTTTGCCTTCTTTTCTCAGATGTCAAGAACAGTTTCTTGAGGAGTGTCTGAGTAAGTTTTCTGCAGAGCAGAAAGCAGTGCTAATAACATAGATGCAAACACCTGGAGTGCTAGCATTCTTTCAATGGTGTGGGGACGCACAGTTTGTGCTCATGGGGTGTCTAATTTACTGCTTCTGTGGAACTTGTATTATATTCAATTAGGTGATCTAAAAGAAACAAATAGCATCATGGTTGTGTATATGTTCCATAATGTATAGCATAGATTCTGTATGTTCCAGAGTGCATAATGTGGATTCTAAAATCTTGCTTTTGCCCTATCTATACTTTAGGGTGAGGTTTGTAAGTGAGATACTTTGTGGTGGTTTGAACTCACCCAGTGGCACATTAGAAGACCAGCCTGGCAGTTTGTTTTCCTAAGATTACAGACAAGAAAACTCTATGGAGCAGTTCTCCTCTGTAACACATGGGGTTTTCATGAGTCAGAAGCTAGTCCACCGCAACAGGTTATTTATATTCTAGGACAGATAGGGAAAGAAGAACGAACTGGGGTTGGTCCTGAGAGTAAGGGCAGATGTTAGCTGCTATCAATTTTATTTTGACTCCTGGCAACCCCATGAGTGCAGAGAATTCTGTAGGGGTTTCAGAGCTAGAACCTGTCAGAAGTAGATGGACCTCCCTGGCTTCAGAGGTACCTCCACCTGTGGTCAAACAGCCAAGCCTCAGCTTACTGCTTGAGTATTTAACCATTCGTTCCATCCAGGGACCTGTAAATGTGGACAGGACTTTAATATACAGAGAGAGGGGCAGGGGGATGTGTACTCTCTGTCCTCAGGCATTTGAATGCCTCTTCTAATTGTGCCTTATCATGACCATGGCTTAGTTATATAGCTTCAATGCCATAATGCCATTTTATGTAAATAATTATATTACTTTGTAAATTTTATATAGATAATTGAGTGTAATAACCATAGCTACTTTTTTTTTTTTTTTTTTACTACTACACTGTTCTTATAAAGAGTTTATCCCTTGGCAGGAGCCATGGAGAAAAAGTGCTTATGTATTGGGCTGCAATCCACAGGGTCAGCTGTTTGAAACCACCAGCCACTCCTCAGGAGAAAGACAGGGCTTTATACGCCCGTCAAGAGTTTCATTCTCAGAAACCCATAGAGGCAGTTCTACCCTGTCCTACAGGGTCACTATGTGTTGGAATCAACTTGATGGCAGTGAGGTTTTTTTTGTTTTGTGTTTGGACAGACCTAAGCAATGAAGATTCCTGAGTTTGTGAGATTTAAATAAAATTGAAAAATTGCCAATATTTGTTAATGAATGGGTGTCCCCCCACATTGATAATGAGCATAATAGCAGGAGAAATGCTAACACTCATGGACTCGGGCAGTGGTAGGACAAAGATTGACTGAATTCTAGACTGTTCTGGTCTGACACCCTGGAATGCTTGCACTGGTCACATCGCTATGTAACAATTTGATGTTCTACAAAGGGGCATCAGCCAGTATAACCTAGAATCACAGCCCTGGAATGATTAGCAAAAGCAAACACAGTTTTACATCCTTTTTCTTACTCATTTTATTATAGTTGTTCTACTTTC